TTTTTTCACTGACTGATGGTTATGCTAATATCTGATGGAATATAATACAATAAGAAAATTAGATTTAAAAAAAATGCTGAAGCATTCAATACAGTAATATATTTTTGACCCTTCTCTTCATAGTGAGGCAAATACTACTGGTCAATGCAAAAACTAAAAGGAAAAACGTCCAAAAAGAAGACAAACATGATTGCTATGTTTTTCTCTTATAGTACAGAAACTTTGGGTCTGACATGGACATAATCAGACCCAGGATGCTGGAAGTTGCAAATCATGTTGACAAGGTATATTCATATGATCATATATCTTAATAGAGTTAACCTTACAAATATAGTATTTACTTGTGTGATATGTGAAAATCAGTTAATAAATGTCTTAAGGAAATGCAAGAGAGTGAACACTTTATTCTTTGCTCAGTTGTATCGACCCCTTAATATCCGGGTTATGCTGGTGGGTCTTGAGGTCTGGACGAAACGTGACCAGATTGTGGTCAGTGTGAGTTCTGATGACACTCTCAGTCGGTTTATTGAGTGGAGAAAGAGCAATCTGCTTAAAAGAGTCAAACATGACAACGCTCAGTTTGTGACGTGAGTATGACCTAGTTACCCATTTATTCTGCTGGATGACTAAGACCTTCAATACACTATAGCAGAAACTAGTCCACTTCAATATACTTTACTACACTTTACTTATTTGTTGTCATTAGTTAACTACATTATGAATTAGCAATGAACAATACTGCTAAAGCATTTATTTAAAATATAATAGCAACATGGGCTTCTACATTTTTTTATAATCAATTTGTATCTGTTAACATTAGTTCATGCAATGAACGATATATTTTTATTAACTAACATTAACTAAGAATAATACATTTTGTGAAAAATATTTCTCATTATTTAATGTTAGCTTATGCATTAACTGATGTCAACAAATGCAAACATATTGTAAAGTGTTAAAAATATACCTTTATTTTACATTAGTACATTAATAATGAATCTTTTATTCAGTTTTATTTATTGATTTCACTTTCCAGTGGAATTGATTTTTTGAATGACACAGTTGGGCTGGCAAACAAATTTGCAATGTGTGCTGAAAGCTCAGCGGGAGTCAATCAGGTAATTATGATCTGCGTTAGTGATGATTTTCTGGTAGCAAATTATCTCCTATATTCGAACAATAAAGATTATTTCTCGAAAGGCATAGTATAATTGCATAAATGGTTATATGCTGTTATTTTTTAGGATCATAATCAGAACTCACTAGGCCTGGCATCCACAATCGCTCATGAGATGGGTCATAACATGGGCATGTCCCATGATGAAAATCACTGCACCTGTGGCTCATCAAAAAAGTTAAGGTAGACATAGTACTGTCTTGCACATCCCATTCGTCAGTTTGTGAAACGTTACACTGTGTTTTAAAGTTTTGCTTTGGTCAGATGTCAGATCTGTCTTAGATTATATTATGTTCAAGTGCATTTTAAAAAAAATATTATTTTAAGGTTTAAAGTACACTACCAAGTGCACATTCAGTGAATTTATGTGCACTACTTCACAAGGGTAGTAATGCAAGTGTATAAAACTCTTTGAACCTTTAAACTTCACTATCCTGAAAACACAATGTGAGCCTTCTATTGCAGTTAGATAAACAAACAATAAAATATGTGGTCTACTGTGCCTTTTGTAACTCTTTGATGTCTTTTTTTAATGAGAAAATACATAAGATCCACCAGCATCTAGGTTCAAACTCCTCCCTCAGCACTTCCTCTGATTTCTGGCCAATATCTTACTTATTTTCTGCTTTTCAGATTCCCACTGCCACAGATATTTCAGTTCTCATTCATAAGTCAAAGTCTTCCACTTGTTCGCTGGACCCTCTTCCCACTGTTTTGGTTAAAGTCTGCCCCCCCCTCTCTGTTTCCCCTCATTTCTGCTATCATTTGCTCTTCACTCACTACTGTAATACTAAAAACTGCTGCCATTACTCCAATATTGAAAAAATGTGGTGACGATCCTAATCATTTCAATAATTTCCGTCCCATCTCCAATTTACCCTTCCTTTCCAAAATCCTTGAAAAAATAGTTGCTACTCAGCTTCACTCTCATCTAAGTTGTAATAACCTGTACGAACAATTCCAGTCTGGTTTCCGCCCATTTCATAGTACAGAAACAGTACTTATAAAAATCACTAATGACCTCCTTATGGCAGCTGATTCTGGTTTAGTCTCTATTCTCATCCTCCTTGATCTAAGTGTAGCCTTTGACACCATTTCTCACACCATCCTTCTCAATAGACTAATCTCTATTGGCATCACTCACACCCCTTTAGATTGGTTTAAACTTATCTTTCAGATCGCACTCAGTTGGTCCAGTTACAATCTTTTAGTTCCCAACCTTCCCCCGTTAACACTGGTGTGCCTCAGGGCTCTGTCCTGGGACCCCTTCTTTTCATCATTTACCTTCTTCCTCTTAGCAATATCTTTCATAAATATGACATCCTATTCCACTGTTACGCGGATGACACCCAACATCACCCGGTCCGCTTATTTTCATTTACATCATATTAACCACCTTTTCATTTACATAATATTAACCATATTAACCACCCCTCCCTTACCCCTCATACTACTGCTATTCTTGTTTATAGTCTTGTCATTTCCTGTATCGATTATTGTAATTCTCTTCTCTTTGGTCTTCCTCACAAATCCCTCTATAAGTTTCAATTGCTTCAAAACTCAGCAGCCCTTATTATCGCCAGAATCCCCTCCTTTCACCACATCACACCTGTTCTGCAGCAGCTTTACTGGTTTCCGGTTAAGTTTTGCATTGACTTTTTTGCATTGAAAAATGATCTTGTTCACTTTTAAGGCCATCCATAATCTTGCCCCTTCATATCTGTCTGACCTCCTCCACATCCATATTACCTCTCGTTCTCTTAGATCTGCTTCTTCTCTTCACCTTACTGTTCCTTTTGCTCGTCTCTCCACCATGGGGAGCAGGGCATTTTGTTGCTCTGCTCCCCAGCTCTGGAATTCACTACCACCAGACATCAGAAATATTGTCTATCTCTTTTTAAATCCAGACTTAAGTCTCACTTGTTTAAGATTGCATATCTCACCCAAATTGTATTTGTCCAGTCCTACTTTACTCTGTTTTTGTCTCTGTATATGGTATTTCTTGTTTGTTTTCAATTGTCTTGTTCGTAAATTTATTGTGCGGTGTCCCTGAGTGTTGAGAAATGCGCCTATAAATACAATTTATTATTAGTAGTAGTAGTAGTAGCAGTTTATAGTGTGCACTGTCTGAAAATGACATGCTCTGACCTTGTCTATCTAGCACGCTGTTCCCGGAGCTGTTTAGTGACTGTAGTCTGGAGCAGCTGAGTGTGTTTCTAGACAACGCCAACCCCAGCTGCCTGCTGGACACCCCCAGCTCATCCAGACTGTACAGTGGGTCTATCTGTGGTAATGCTTTTCTGGACCCTGGAGAGGAGTGTGACTGTGGAACAGTCGAGGTATTGCACACATATCCTGTGTCTGTAGTGACTCAGTCTAGCCCAGTTGATCTAGCTCAAATTATCATTTTCGATGGCATCATTTATGCATTAATGTAGGATCATCTTTGACTCACATCTGATGTCTCATTGATGACTGTGATTTAATGTTTTGTGTAAGGAATGTGAAAATCCATGCTGTGATCCCATGACCTGCAGGCTCACTGAAGGCTCACAATGTGTTCATGGAGACTGCTGTGAGAATTGCCAGGTAAGTGACTCTTATGAAAACTCTTCATGGCCATTTTTTTTAAAGAAATTTACACTATGAATATATTTTTTAGAATAGATCTTTATTAAAGGAATAGTTCACCCAAAAATGAAAATTCTCTCAATTCAACCTCCTTCAAAGAAGAGGTGACTCTGGTGGGACTCAAACCCACAACATTTGATCTGCCTCATTTTACAGTCTAGAAATCTGCTACCCATTGTACCACAGAACCTACTTTTCTTCCTGACTTTTGTATGACCAGCATTGTGGCAAAAAAGAGACTTCCTTGAGTCTCTGCAGAATAGAAGCTAGATTTAGAATGTTGAAGCACTATTATTTCCTAGAGTGGGAGAGCAAAGTCACTGATAGAGGCACACCGTTGGGATTGGAACCCAGGATGTGTAAACCAGACTGGGCTGCTGCCTTTGATTTGTCATATAGTGTGGGCGGCATAAAAGAGTTTTCAAATGTCACGCAAGCTTCTGTTTCAGGTGTTTTTTGTTTTTAGGGTGGGAGGTGGGTGGAGCAAAATGCACTCACGAAATTGCCAGAAGTCACGATTCTGATGGAACTGGTGGGCCTCCTTTCCTAGAGTGAGGTACCACTGGGATTTGAACCCAGGATCTGAAAATCAGTCTGGACTGCTACTGTTGACCCTCGTGTATTGGTGCTTGTTTGTCCATCTCATGGAGGAGCATGATAGACATCATAAGTTCCACTGGGATTTGAACCTAGAATCTTATGTTTACAAGACACACACTTGAACCAACTGAGCTATGGCCCTGGTAGCCTCACGTAGCGAAAGCTTCAGACTCAACGGCAGAAGGTCTGGGAACCTTGGCCGATTTGAATGGCCAAGGACCACTCAAGAGGCCATATGACTGACAAGTAAAGCAACAAATCATGCTTTGTTTTGTGCCGCGTCATGTTTATGGGTGTGGAAATGTCCCCACATAAACAGACCAGTGTGTAAAACTCTTGGACATATGTATTATAAATAGTCTATGCCGCGAACTTTAAACATTTCACATACTTTTGAAAATCTAGCATTTAGTTAATCCAGATAAGCGCTCACTGTCACAGTTGTAAACACAATGGCTGTGTTCTTCAATGAGGGGGTTTGGCACCATGCCATCTTTGTTTCTAGGTAGAACGTTAAAAACGCGACACACACGTCTCTCAGAAATTCTGTAGAATTTCCAACCAATCAGATAATAACTTCAAAATTCCTGAAGTGTTTCCAGTAAAGTGTGCCATATGCATCAGACGTTCAGCCAACAGTCCATGGGCATGACGTCTGAGGCTGAGACTATGGCCATGGAAGCCAAGGAAGGGTTACTCAGAAGAGCAAAAAATCAAGGAAGGCTTTAAAAAGGTTGTTGAAGAGCTTATAAGAGTTTGCAAATGTCATGCAGGACTCTTTTCTAGATGTATTTTTGGGTGGAGTAAGGGTGTCAAAGAAATTCCTGGTGGGACACAAACCCTCAATATGCTATCCAATGGACCACAGAGTGATTTGGACATTTGATGGTTTTTCCTCGAGGCTTTTGTATGTCCAAAACTCTGGGAATAAACACGGGGCCAAAGAAAGAGACTTCCTTGAGTCCCAGCAGAATAGAAGCCTTGTTTGAAATGTTGAAGCAATATTTGGGCCTGCTTTCCTAGAGTGAGCCAGGAGAGCACCACTGACATTTGAAACAAGGATCTGTAAATCAGACTCAACTGCTGGACTTGACTTGTTATATATTGTGTGGGTGGCATAAATGTCATGCAAACGTCTGTTGTTGTTTGTTTGTTTTATGAGGGGAGGGGGGGGGACAATCAAGTTGCCCAAAGTTACAACACTGGTGGAACCTGAACCAGCAACCTTTGCATGGCCTCATTTTGAAGTCATTACTATGTAGTGTTAACAGTAACTCTAGATAAGTTTGTGGTTGACACTTTTTTGTTATTTCCAGCTTCTATTTTCTCTCTTGCCATGGTAGATAAAAGATGCTGAAAGCTTGTGTCGAGCACCTGAAAATGAGTGTGACATTCCAGAGTACTGCACAGGGCTCTCAGAGCACTGCCCAGAGAATGATTTTAAGATGAATGGCATACCTTGCAGCTCTGGCGACGAGACAAAAACATTAAAACCCATTATAAACGAGGCATTGTTTCATCCACTGGGGACATCCATCAGGAAACAATCCTCCATAAAATGCGCTGCACACATCTGATTATTTGGGTGGAACTGTTCTGAAACTAAATACAACTTAACCACTGATTTCTAGTCGTGTCCTCTTTTGGAAGGCCAAACAAAGTAGTTTCGCTTTCACAACGAAACAGCGTCTCCACGACATGGCAGCAGCGGCAACAATACTACAGCAAGAATAAAAGTTATGCCTTCTTTCTTTGCGTATACATTTGGGCGGTGTTATGCAAATCTTCCCACATCGTGACCTAGACATGTGGGAGCATGTTTAAACGAGGCGTTTTAGGAGGGTGTGGACCAGTCTTAACTTTTATAAAGAATATCTTTTTGGGTTTGAGACTTTAGTCTTTGCAACTTTAGGGATCTTATCTATTCACGAACAGCTTGTAACACTCCAAAGAGAAAGGAAAACTTGAAATCGCATCATATGACCCCTTTAAAATACTATGCACTGCACCACTCTAAGCACCATGGCAAAAAGATTTTTGCTTTTTTAGTTGAGTTATGAACCTTATGAAGTGGTACTAAATCTCCAAAAAGACTCAAAAACACTCCAAACTTCTGAATTATTGTTCATCGATCATGCTCACTAAATCGTTCACTTGATCACAGAACCAGTGAGACTGTCTGAACAAGTACCATTGGTGTGCCCAACTGAAATGGTTAATTGAACATTTATTTGCAATTTAATTTAAGTATATAGTTCAGACCAGTTATTCTTCAAGTACTAAAAGAACTGTTAATACAATTAAGGCTTCAAACCGTTAAAGCGCTAGTTTCCCCCAAAATGAAAAATCATTTGTCGTTAACTCGCCTTCATGTCATCTTAAATTGTATGACTTTCTTCTGTGGAACATAAAAAAAGGTATTTAGAGAAATGTATCAGTGTTTTTTGTGTATACAATGCAAGTAAGTGTTGTCCAAAACTGTTTGGTTGCCAACATTCTTCAAGTTTGGAACAGCATGATAGTGAGTAGTTGATGACAGAATTTTCTTTTTTTGGTTGAAACCAGAAATCTGAACCAGTATAATTAAATTCCCAACAGCCCAACTACTTTACTAAAACACCACCGTTCATTAATTTTCACAAGCTGTATTGATTTTCTCTACCTTGATATTTCAGTATCCTGCTGTGCATAATGACTCATATCAACACAGTATTCATATCTGCTTAAATGTTGTGTCTCTGATTATTTCCCTAGGTGCCAAAGTGGCTGCTGAGGCATGCTTTTTTCGAAACACATTTGGAAAAAATGATTCTCACTGTGGAAAGACCAAAGGTGGCTACAGAGCCTGTACAAAAGAGTATGCCATCTTTTTTCATTTTCTGATTCAAAATAGCTCACCAAATAACTATTTGTCATAGCACCCGTTTTTTAAGACCAAGCTAATACATCAAGAATAGATTACATTAAATGTATTTTTTCCTTATATAGAAACATGTTTTGTGGAAAAATATTTTGCGATGGAGGAAATGACTACCCCGTGACTGGTCAGAAAGCTGTGATAGTAACATTTAGGGGATTTTGCAACATAGCTGGGGACCAATCTGAAGAAGACGCCCTCAGCATGGTCCCTACTGGCACAAAATGTGGGCACAATAAGGTAAGCATAGAAGAATGTTATTTAAACTATGACGGCAGGACTTGTAGGCACAAAATTTAAAACTCTGGGTTATGTTTCAACAGGTTTGCTATGATTACATGTGCCAAGACCTGAATGTTTATGGTAGTAATGATGATTGCTCACTGCAATGCAGTGGAAGAGGGGTGAGATCAAATCTCCATTTCACCGAAACCAATAGGAGGATGTCTTATGATTCAAAATATAAAAAGCTTTTGAAAGAATTAAAATTAGATTTTATTATATTTTTGCAGATTTGTAATCATAAAAAACAATGCCACTGTGAGCCTGGATGGGCACCTCCTTACTGTGAAGTCAGATATTCTGAATTGCCATCCGGTAATCAAATACGCTTCTTTCTTTTCTGAAAAGCATGTTTAAATGTAGCACCTGTAGTAATGTAACATTCTGACCAATTCTACTCTTGTTTCCAATTTTTTTAGGACAAGCAAAGATAATTGGCATCTCAGTAGCAGTTGCAATCGCTCTACTTGTACTTGCACTATGTGGAGTCTTGTTTTATTGTAAAAGAAGAAAAGCCTTGATTTATTGTAAAAGAAGAAAAGCCATCGTCAGCCACAAGACGTGAGTTGTTTGATTTTGATATGCTTTGTGACATTTATCATGCCCAGGGTTTTGAATGAACTGCAAGTGAACATATTCCAGCCAGGAATATTTATTCGCCATAAAACCCTTCTGCATAATTTTCTGAATAAAAAAAAACTTTTTGCCAATTATGTTGATAACTCTTTTTTCAAAAGTACTGTTTATGCTTTGTGTGTAAAACTTTTAATGAAGTGTATCTTTTAAAAATGGGCCATGTTGCATAGCAACCACCCTGCTGATTTCTTGTAAATGTCTTGCAAAGTTATTGGTCAGAAGGTGTGGGTAGCTGTGAGTAATGTAATTATAGTAGTCTGTCCGTTCATGTCACGTCTGTCTGCTTGTTTACAGAAAAACTCCTTCTGCAGGGCAGTTGAACCTTCTTTTTGAGAACAACAGTGCCAAGAAGGACCGCCCTGAGATCAGCCAGCCCATATTCATGGGGACCACCATAACTCAACCCTGCACCCCTCTAACTGCAAGATTGGGCCCGACCCGTCCTGCTCCACCAGTTAGTAGAACCTTCATTTAGATGCAGCCTGTTTATTATCATCTTAAAGTCAAAAACTCTTTTCTCACTGAATGAAATGTATTTTTTTCCCCCTATTTGAAACCTGTGAGTGTGAAATAAAATAGAAAATAGGGTTAGTATCAAATTTGTATTGCGTAGCCATACTTTTGTCTTTGTACACAAAATCTGAATCATACTACAGCTTATTCTGGATAGGAATGCCCATCTAGATGATGTGACTACCTGTCACAGTTTGTACATGCTATTTAGGGCTGGGAAAATCTAAAATGATTCATGCAATAATAATAGACTGGCATGGAAAGACTTTTGCATTGGCATTTCTGTTTGTTCAAAAGTTTTAAGTACTAATTGTTTAAACAAGTTGAATATAAATGTCGCTCATGGAAATCTAGTTTATCACTACAGTACTTACACAAACACCACTCTAATATTGTTCAAAGATTTGAATGCACACATGTTAAGGCATGCTGTATGCAGTTTACAATGTTTTACAAGTGCTTTCTAGTTTTGTGCACAACATATCAGGTATATGAACAGGCCAAAGCTAAGAATAGGGTTAAATACTTGTAGTTCCACCCATAATGTCCTGCCAGGACAGATAAGAATTAAGAAGTCTTTTCCCATCTCTCTAGAAAAAAATTAAAGTACATTTGTACTCTTATTCTGCTTGCAGCTTCCAAAAAAGTCACAATCGCAACAGACCGTAGTAAAACAGGTAAGATCAACTATTGATAGCAGAAATCCACTTTTTTGTATTTTGTAAAAAAACTATTTATGATATTTAAAATATTTCACACAATAATGAAAATTCTGACATTAAACCTGTACGACTTTCCGTCTTCTGTTGAACATAAAAAGAAATTGAATGTTTCTGTTGCTCAGCAGTGGCCAGAGACTATCAGGCTATATGGCAAAATAATATATTTTCATATATATTTTTTTTTAAATATTTCCAAATATGCAAAATATGGCCAAAAATATATTTCTAAAAGAAATGTTAAAATATATTTGTATCAACAAATTTGGGTTTGTTTATATATATATATATATATATATATACAGTGGTGTGAAAAAGTGTTGGCCCCCTTCCTGATTTCTTATTTTTTTGCATGTTTGTCACACTTTAATGTTTCAGATCATCAAACAAATTTAAATATTAGTCAAAGATAACAGAAGTAAACACAACATGCAGTTTTTAAATGAAGGTTTTTATTATTAAGGGAAAACAAAATCCAAAACTACATGGCCCTGTGTGAA